TTTTTAAAGGCATTAAAAAATTATGCCACGGTCATTCCATAATAATACTAATAAACTCTTCTTCGCGCTGTTTTACTTTCGGGTGACTTCAACTATAACAAACATTACGTAAAAAAATTGCTTTCTATGTTTATCGCGTCGCTTGGCTTCCCTCAAATTACTATATTTCAACGACGGCGACTTTTGTAACACACTAATTCGACAAAACCGAAAATTAAAGACGTTTAAAGTTAATTCGTAGTCACTAATTTACGAAACAATACCTGAACAGACTCCGGCATCTGCCATCGAAGTCACCAGTTGTTACGCAGCTGACTGAGAAGGTCCTAGGTGGCGGCGGTCGCCTTATGTCACATCCACCTGTTGCGATCCGGCGCGTGCCACCAAAAATTTCATCAACAGTTTGTTTATTATAAAGATATAAGATTTTACATATCTCACTTACAACCCTTATAGGTACTTATAGCAGAAGCCGCGTGTGCAGAAAAATTTTGGCAGGGTTTTTTTCTAAAATTAAACTATTAAGATTACAAGCTTTCAATCTAAAATTATTTTCTTTTCAATACTTAGTACTTTTTAAATTGCCTAATAATTATTTAAAATTAAAATTTTATTTATTTATTATTAGGTACATTAAACTAAAATTAAAAAGTTTTTAGTCCAACGGGTTTTGTCTTGTCCTGTTAAAACGTGATCAGACAAGTTCTCAGGATCCTGGTAAGAATTTACTTGCAAACAAAAGAAACAAAATATATTTTGATATTATATTTTAAGCAATTTAATATGTAAATTGATTGCACTAAAGCTTGTGTTTACTGTATTATTTTTAATGTTTGTAATTATATTTTTTTAACATTTAAAAATTCTAATTATCTTGGTCTCAGGATCCTGTCAATTTAAAATTTAAAATCTTTTTGTCAAGTTATAGATAATAATCTCATTAGACAGTAAGAGATCAATTTTCTCCACAGTTTGGATAAACCTGAGATAAAAAGTCAACTAGATATTTACTTGTATTAACCAAATTTCAGTTTTAAAAGTCAAATAAACCCAAGTTTTCGGAAAACTGTTTTCCACTAAATAAATATCTTCTTGTAGATATCGAAATAAATAATTTATTTGAGCCGTGTGTATTCTCAGTTTCCTGGCGCTTGATTTTCGTTAAATGACTATAATTCTGTAATTTTTAAAATCTTGATCCATATATGTTATGTTATGACTATAGCCCATGATGATATATTTCATGTATAATATTCTTCATGGATAGTTTGTTTTCGTCCTTCGCTCACTTAAATTCTCTTTAGTTGAAGTGCAAGTTTCCGAGTCGAAAAAAATTGAAACTGGTGTGCGTAGCATCGAGAGACAGGTGCTCACGGCTCGCTACGATGTTCGATTCATCGAGCCACCTGCTGAATTAAACTCTGTGGCAGCAAAACCTGCCTTCTAGGTTTTAAAACACGAATCTTTAACGTACTTTTTAAAACGCTAAATTAAAGATTTTGCTATTAATATTTTTGTTGTATTTTTTGCTACATAGTATTTTTAGAATATACCTACCTACTAAAAAAATTTCAAAATTGTGGCAGTAATTTCAAAAGTTATACCTATATTTTATAAAACTATAGTTAATATGCAAATATATCCCATAAAATAATTTATCCTAATGTCTAGAAAACGAGTTCTACAAAACATTAGAATTAATTTATAATTATTAATTAAAATTAAAACTGCGTTAATAATAATACACTAACTAGTTATTTATAACTATCATTAGTAATTATTAAATTGGCGCTATTGTGTAATGGATTCCCAGGCTTTTTTTTTGATACAACAAATAAATTATTTTATGTTAATAACGATTTGTGGCGTTTTTCGAAGGTCAATGTCATTAAAAAATGAAATTTAATTAAGTTTAGGAATTAATGCCTACATCTCACTGTTATTAAGGTAACAGTTTTCTTTATATGTGTGGTACTAAATTAAGAAAAATCATAGAAATTATATATAATATATATATGAGAAATATAAACATGTGATTGATAATGTTCGATATTTCAAAATTGTATTGAGCTCATAACTCCTGTCAATTACCGGAATAAAAGTATTTCGAAAAGGCGAGATACGGTCGGAATTTCAGTATCATAAAAACATAAAACGGGCATTAATAAAATGCTGTTTGCTCAGGTGCGCTGAAAAACAAGAAAAACGAAATAAATAATAAGTATAAAAACCGAGCATACATGACTGGAGTATGAGATTTAATACTTGTAAAAACTAGTTTTAAATGGGACTTGCGGATTATTAAAAATTGGGTATACATTGAATAGGTATTTTGCTGTACACTTTTACATTTTGGTGTTGTAATATTTTTAATTAGTTTTTTATAAAGAATATTACAATATTTTATACAAACTATAATAGGTTTATAGAATTAAAAAGGTTTAAAGTTATTTAATAAATTAATTAGGGTGCTTTTTTTCACGACTATTTTTATTTTTTCGCTCCCAACTTAAAATCTTGTTGAAAATGTTCAAAAAAAAAATTCACTGAAAATTTGAGCCCTTAATATTAACTCAAAGTACCTACTCTACCAAAGCCTAAAAAGATTTCCCATTTAAAATACACGTAAACTTTAATTATTTTTTTTTAAATTTCTATATCTCAGCCGCATTTTATGCTCTTGGATTGTTTCAAAAAGGGATTTACTCGTAATCAAAAGTTCTACAAAAATGCTTTATGTGCCATAGCAGTAATCTGCATGCAGGTGCACCTGTAGGATGGTAAAAATGTAAAGTTCTAACTTGTGGAAAATTTAATTTTCTTTAAAAAAGTTCTTATCAGTCGAATCGCTAAGATTGATATTTGTTGAGATATAAAGCTTTTACATTGACATTTTATGAAATTTTCAGGATTTTCGTACCAAACTTTTTATAAATGATGATTTTCAATTGTTTATCAGTACAATTTCATGTAATTACGTTTTTTCTACAGTCGGGTGATTAGAGAAAAATAAATAACTAAAACAATCAAGCATAATTATTAATAAAATATCATGTTGTATGTATACATATATATAATATATATATTATAAATTATAATATATAATACACCTAATACACCTCGTTATATCAATTTTTAGTTTAGATATATCTTTTCTCTTTAAAGTTACCCTAATATATATATGTATATATAGGTATGTATATATGCATGTGTCATATGTGCATGTGCAGATAGATAACCTCAATTAGGTATTTAAAAGTATTCAAATGTCAAGGTGAGACTTTTGAGTATTAATACGTTTCAGTAATATATTTCGCATTTTTAATATACCTATCTATACCTTAGGTATAATACCTGTATATATCTATAGATGAGATAAGCTGTGCATAGTTGGCAACACTAAATAATTGCGGTATTTTAATTGGACGTTTTTAAACGTTTTATTAACCATTAAGCAAATCTAGTGCACGACATTTACCATCTCTGATCGCAGAATGCGGAGATAATGCCCCTGAAATTAATCAAGATAGCCAAGTGTGCTAAGCGTATTAATATAGTGAAAATGACGATTTTTTACTTTAATAAAATTTTAGATATTTTTTGAAATGGGAAGTTGAAATTTGGTTTATAATATTTATAATTATTTATAACAATAATTGTTATAACAATAATTGTTATAACAATAATTGTTATAACAATAATTGTTATAACAATAATTGTTATAACAATAATTGTTATAAATAATTATAAATATTATAATTATTATTGTTCTAATAGCTTTATAACATATTATTATTACATACCGTGTTGGAATTTGATAGTTTTTGACAATTTTTAAGATATGACTATAGTCATTTATAAATAAAAAAATTCAAAATGGTTTCGTTTGGTGAACGTGCTACACATTTCATAGTTTTTGTCGCCTTTTAAGGTTTTCTAACAGTAAATAGATGTTACGTGTAAGTTATACTGTTTTTGCGGATATCCGGTCAAAAAAATTGTAAACAATATATATGTTTAATGTTGTTGAAAATATTTTGCAGATTTCCTTAATTTTTCATTGATTTATGAATTTGTTTATGGCAAAAATAGATTTTGTTTATAATTTTATAAATTTTTAATCTGTTTTTGACATGGAAAATATACAAAATTTCCTGGCAAAACCTAAATTTCCTTTTAGTTTCCAATATGTGCTCGAGTAGTAAGGAAATCATGTTTAAAGGTAATAAACAATTTTAAGATTTTTTTGTTTTCACTTTTTTTTTATTTAATAGTGTTTGTCGTAGTGAAAACTTTTGTATGTAAATTTAACATCAGCACCTTAAAAAAATTAAATTCGAAACAATTGAAATGACATTTTTATGATCAAATCGGTTTATATTTGAAGCGAAATGGTATAGTGGGAGGTCCGTTTGCAGCCTCCCAATTAGTCGACTGCACGGGAGGGCGGATCTCCTGCCGACCAATCACAGCGCTTCATTCTCTTACTCGCCTGCTCCGATCTCTTTTTTCAATTGCGCGGAGTGTTCTGCGTTCAGATAGATAAGGTTTAATCGAATGGAAACGATAAATAGCATTTGTTAGCTATCTTTAGAAAATAAAATAATTACCTATGTTGGTATTTAGATATTACATTTTGGTAATTAATGTTTACGGTTTTGTGTTATAAAACTAATACACATCGGGTGGGGGGTCTGAAATCCCCTAATTTGTTGTTACGTTCTTCAGTGGCCGATCAAGGGGGTGAATGGGTGAAATTCCTACCCCCAAGGCCTACTGAGAAAAAAATTGATGAGTTAGAAAAATTTCTAGATTTAAGATACAATTTTACCCCACTTTCCCAAGAACTTTTCTGGGTCAACCCTGCGTACCTTGAACGACCCCTTTGTTTTTATATTTTATTTATATTTTTTTGTGGGCATATAAATTATGATATAATAAAAAATTAAATTTTTTAACAACCTTAGAATGTAGGTACTAAATTAAAACTTTTATTTCAGGAGGTTACGGTCAACTCAGGAGTCCTGCATGTCCGAGCACTGACGACATTAAAGACGAAAGCTCACCCCCACCCTCATCAGGTTACATTAACCTACATCATAGAAGTCCTGCCTATCATCATCTCAAAGATGGTAAGAACAAAAATTGACTAAAAATATTTCGACTAAACTTATCTTAAAATTCCGACTAATTATCTTAAGACCCCGACTAGTATATCTTAACATCCTAAAATCCGACTAATGAATCTTAAAAATCCGACTAATTATCTTAAAATTTCGACTAATATATCTTAACGCAAAAAAATCCGACTAACGTATCTAAAACTCTTCTTTCAGGATATAAAGGCTCGTGTCCGACGGGTAGTGACTCGTCGAGCGGTAATTTTGGAACGTTAGACGGCGGCAGTCTGTTAACGGGGGGCGGCGGTCCGGCCGACGACCACCAACAACAGCAGCAGCAGCAGCAGCAGCAACATTTGTTTCAAACCCCCTATCATTCGCCCGAAGAGCACGAATATCAGGCGCTGGAGACGGCACATCAGCAATCGTATCTCGAAAGTTCGCCGGAATTGTATTCGGGTAACAGTTTTATCGAGTCCAAGTATCATCCTGCACAGAGTTATGTCAAGAATTATGTCAGATGTAAGTAGAAATATCTTCCTATTTTATTTTTTTTGTACTAAAAACCATTGCTAAATTTTTTAGCAAATTAACAAGTTTTATAGTTTTCATCATTTGGTCCAATTCGACTTTCTAATTCTAGTTTATGTAGATCTATAGATCTATAGATAGATAAACCACGTTTTAATCAATAAATAAGTCTTTTATCATTAAAAAAAAGGTACCTTATATTCAATAAACACGTCTGTGTTTTGGGTTTCATGGCTATTATTTCCTACAAATCAGAGGCGGCGTAATCAAAGCCATCTGGGATAATAATTCCGACAAAAGCGGCAGAAACTTGAAAAGCGCAGCTCATTCATTTTCAACTATTAGCCGTGTATCAAACACAAAGCGACCACTAGATTTGCATGATGGCGTTCCCACGCGATCTTTTCACCCCGTCAACAACAACAAACAAAAAATAAACGATAAACATTAAAAAAGCTCTTTTGTCAACGACACGCCGTATTTATCAGGATTTAAACTTTAAGAATCAAGAAGGTTACTTAAAGAGTCTGGCGTTCAATGTTCCCTACATATTACATCTCACCAATCTTTGCATAATGTTTTTGTATATAAGCTTAATAAAAAAATCATTAAAATAAATCGTTTAAATGTATGATTTCATCAAAGGTCCCAAAATGTTGCCTTGTGGCACACCCATTACTCCACTGTATGCTTTGTTTTTATGATAAATAATACGAAAAAAATCGTAATAAACAATTAGAAAAGTCATAAAATCGTAGAAAACAATAAAATCATAAAACGTAGGCAGTAAAACATTTAAATTTTATATTTTTTCGTTAAGCACGTGAATATATTGACGGATCGTTAATTTCTAACAGCCTTAGGGCCCGGCCTGACAGTGGTGCCAACTGCTAAAACGTCACGGTTCGTGGATGTTCCACCAAGTCTGACATTTTTTTTCTAATTACACACTACCGGGGTATAAGTGCATATGCTAAACGAAATTTTGTAGCTCTAAAGAAACAAGAAAGAGTTAAAAATGTGGAATAAAATCTTTTTCTTACTACCTCGACTCAAAATACGTTGTTTCGTCCCCGATTTCACGGCAGAAAGTTTACGTTTCTTGCATTGGTCAAGCTATACACGCACACTCTAATAGCGGGAGTAAAAATTTTTTAGTCGTTAAGCACATTTCAAATTTCGTACTGCCAACATGAGAAACACAAAAATATGACAGTTTTAAACCATAATTTTGCAATTATAACAACAAATAAACAATTTATGTTTTTACTTTTTTACTTTTTATGTGGTTTTAAGTGTTTAATGGTACTTTTATTTGTTATAAAGTAGTAATTTGTTAATTAAAATACAACCTTTTATTTTTACTGTATTGGCACCGCTGAATTACCATGACAACGCTACAGTTTGATTGATTTTGAATGTAAACGTCAGAATTAAATTAAACGTCAGATTTTAATTTTGACAAAAGTTTTTTTATATACATTTAATTTTTTTCCGTATTTTCTGCGGGGTAGCAAGAAAAATAGTATACACTACACGGGCAGAAAGTGTGAGAGTCCTGAACTGCGCGCCATGATGCCCTCGGCTTCGCCTCGGGCATCATGGCGCGCAGTGCAGGAATCTCACACTTTCTGCCCTTGTAGTGTAATATACTATTAATGTTAATGAACCTCGTATCTCTCGCTGAGAAATAAAATTACGATTCAATGTCACGTCCATTGTTTTATTAATAAATCCAAATGTCTGTGTATGTATACTTATAAGTATACGTAGACACTGTCGTCTATAGCACCTTTATTGGAACAATAGTACGTAATTTGTAGGCAATATGGATGGTTCTATATGCTTTTCTTGGTAATGATAAATAGGTAAGACATGATAGTATTTTTATGGCGAACAAATAAGTTTTCATTGGAAAATGTCATAAACATATAGGTACATTATTGCAAGAATTTTAATAAATATGCTAGACAGAACTAGATGGGTGTACCACAAGATACCTACCTATTTGGGACTCTTTAAAAATTTAGGACTATAGTAATAAATTAGTTACTTTATTTTATTTCTATTAATTTTGTTTTCAATTCCAATTTATTATTTTATCACCTAATTATATTCTTTATTTTATTATTACTTTTTTATTTCCACCAAATGTTTAGGGACCTTTACAATCTTTGTTACATTTGGACGACATTAAACGAATCCAAACTAGAATTATTATTTTTTTTTTAATATTTTTTATACTTTTTGATAATTTCAATTAAGAAAAAATGAAATCCTGAGTTCCACATGTGTTTCATAACTTCTGCAACAAAAATTTACCATGGTAAATTTTTTTTGCAGAAGTTATAAAACACCATTTCTACAGAAATCATTTTATTACTTAAAAATGCATGTTAATATATTTTTTCTACTCCCACCTTTAAAACGACCATTATCGTACATGTTTCCATGACACTAAGTGACCTTTTAAATACACATTGACAAGTTGTGGCTTTACGGCGTTTTAGTCACGGGCTGAAGTTAGCAATAGGTTTTTAGTCACGGGCTGAAGTTAGTTTTAAGTTAGTTGACAGTTGTCAAATGTCATAGAATCGTTAAAATAAAGTGCCTTTCTTGTTAAATAATACTAAATGTGAAAATTATTTCATTATCTCAATACAAAAATACAAAAGTATTAGGTAAATAGTTTCTCAACGCCAATATTTGAAAAGTTTATTTGAACATTGTACTGCCGATTTCGGATAAAATAATTTTTCGTCAATCTTAAGTCTATTTTTAGTTAATCAAGCACTAACATTAGTTGTTTCAACAGCCATTTTGTTAAAATATTCATCAATGTTAGGATATTGCAGTTGGTGACCGGTAACTTATGTGACATTTGCAACATAAAGCCTGCATTTTAGGAAAAAATTAATAGATTAGGGTTGTCATAATTTAAGTTCCCATTACCTTAAAATGCTACATGCTCATTACACTAAAAAAAACCTTGAGCGAGAATTAGTTTTCACAAAAATAAGTGGATACAGCATCGAAACAAGTTATATGAGAATTTACCTTTTAGTAGCGGCTGTTACATTTTGCGTATACCTATATCTTAGTTATTATACATGGGACCCACTCCAAATTTATATAAGTTCATAATGACACTAAATTAACAAGTTCTGCGCAAGCAGAATTTAAATAGAAGTTTGTCAAAAAAAGATACGCCTACCCTGCAGCCTGGACCCCCTGATAAAGATAATACAAATTTTAGTTGTGCAATTTATAATTTACTATAGTTTATCGACAAATTTCAAAATTTATTTAAAATTTCTAAATATTACAGATTTTATACCATTTTAAATAAATTCTTTTTCTAAAATAATACAAAAATAAAATGGGATAAAATTTGGAATAGTTTTTAAATAAATTTTAAAATTTGTCAATAAACTATGGTAAATTATGAATTACACCACTAAAATTTGTATTATCTTTATTAATTTATTATTATTAGGGGGGCCAGACTGCAGGGTAGCCGGAGCAAAATCTTTTATTTTTTTCACAAATTGCTATTTAAATTCTGCTTGCGCAGTACCTACTTTATATTATTTTACAATGACACTAAATAAACAATTTGGTGTGAAAAACCCTGTATAAATTTTAAGGTTTTAAGGTGTTCCACAAGGTACGATTCGGGGACCCCTACAATTCAACGATATTTAATTAAAATTCAGCATTTTGATGTGGCCCAAAATTTTGTCAACATTTTCTTTATTTCCTTCCAGCATCTGGCAGATACAATGAGGGCGACGCATACGGCTACGGACCGTACGACGCGTCCCCGTTCCAGACGGTGCCCAACGCGAACGCCCAGGCGCAAGACCAGTGGACGACGCACACGCACGACCTGGGCGCTCTGGGACACCCGCATCATCCCGCCTTCCTGAACGCCACTGGGATGCCCGGGTCGCGGGACGCCCTGCAAGCGTTGAGTCAGGACCAGAAACCGATGATCCAGAATGGGCTCATCCAGGGATATCCCAGCCAGGCTGGAACTGGAGGACCTTGCTTCACAGGTAAGAATTCGTTTTGAAAGGTTTTTGATGTTTTCTCCTTTTTTCACCTTTTTTGATACTATTACAACTAACTGTTGTATTTGATTAATTATTTTAGCTATGGGATTTGATCAAGTTAGTCATTGTTTAATTTGACCTTCACAAAAATAAACTCTGTGCGAGGCTAGAAGAGTCTATTGTTAAAATTATATCAACAACGTTTTTATACGTTTTTAATTTATCAGTGGGATTTTTTATTTTTAATTTAACAAGAAAGTATTTCATTTTATATGATTTTTTAGGGATTGTTTGGATTTTTTTGAGCAATTATTTGATTTAATTTTTATTATTTTTTTTATTATTCATTGACTGAGATATATTGTATTAAATCAAGTAACCCCATTCAAAACATTAAGTTTTCTCAAATCCCCTGGTGTTCCACAAGGCACTCTCCTTAGCCCACCAGTTATTTTCTTTAAAAATATTTTTATTTTTCCATTTTTTTTATTTTTTTGTTTTTTAATAGAAGATTTTAATTAACATTTAATTCCGTAGTTTTTTCTATAATTTCATCTTTTATTACCATTTTGACAGAGATATTTTGTATTAAATTAATTTACCCTATTCTAAACATCAAGTTTTGGTAAATACCTAGTGTTCCACAAGGCACTCTTCATAGTCCACCACAAACTGACCTTGACATAACCGACCTTGCTTTGAAGGTAAGGGGCCGTCCATAATTCTTGTGACTCTAGAAATCTTCAAAATTAACCCTCCCCTCACTCGTGACAGAATGTGACGATGTAAAACTACCCTACCCCCTAAACATATTTTTTCCGATTTTTTTTGGTAATAATCTGCAATATTAAGTAATTTTATTCGATTTATTTTGTGACCTGACGTTTCGTAATTTATCTACGGCCCCATTTAGGAAGATTTTTTTTCTTTTTTAACCATTTTTGCTTGTTTTACAACAGTTTTATTTAATTAATTATATTAGCGATGTGATTTGATGAACTTGGTCATTGTTCAATTTGACCTTCACAAAAATAAATTCTATACAAAGCTACAAGAGTCTATTGTTAAAATTATATCAACAACGTTTTTATAGGTTTCAATGTTTTTAATACTTAACAAGCAACCTAAATAATAAATTTTGTATGATTTTTTTTAAATCCAGTGTTTTTTTTTCGGAATTTAGCAACGTCAAAATTTTTAGGGTTTATTGGCAAATTCTAGGGGCCCCTTAATTTATTAATTTAGTGGATTTATGCAGCACAAATTTATTATTTCATCAAAATGCTTGTTGATTTTTGAAATTTCTTTTCGTTTAGAATTTTCTGTTATCTCTAGCATTGTTTATTATAAGAATTAAGTCATTAAAGAGGAGTACCAATTTTAAATATAAAAAATACCAAAGTATATTGATATCTGAGCTGGCCAAGTACTCGAGTACTTTTACTCGTATTTCAATTACGAGTAGAAAAATACGAGTACTTTTGTACTCATAAGTATTTTTTATTTGAAATACATACTTATTACTCGTACTCGTACTTACAAACAAAATTCAATGTACTCGTAAAAAATACTCGGAATTCACGAGTAATATATAAGAGTATTTCCGTTTATTATATCAATGATTTTTTGCCAAAGCATCGAAACATATTGTTTTTAAGTCTGTTTTAAATTATATAATATATAGTATAATGTAATATATTATAGCCTATAGGTTTTATTACAAGTAAATAGATAAAATTATAAACTATTTACTTGGTATAAAACCTATAGGCTATATATAGTTTAAAACAGACTTCAAAACAAGAAATGTTTTCAATTCTCGAAACTTGAGTTATGGTTTTTGCGATACTTTGACAGAAAGTCATATAATGCTATCGCCCAAATTTCTTAGAGTCAAATTAACAAACCACCAAGTTTGAGTTAAAAGTCCAAAAAATTTCCTACTCAATCGAACCTCGAGTGGTATTTGTTGAGAAAAAAAAGTTATTTTTGTGTCACTTTGGCATTTCTATATACAATAATACATCTGTTACTTTGGAGAAGGTAAATAGAAAAATATTCGCCAATTTTTGTTACTTCTTCTTTTTCATCCGTAAACAAACCGTATTTTAAGTACTCGTACTTAAAATTTTACGAATACTTTTTTAGTACTCGAGTCCAGCTCTGATTGATATAAAGTACCAACCTAATCAAATGTGTCAAGTTCCGGAAAAAACAAAAATATGTTTTACTTTTTTAATCAATTATTTGGTTGTATCTCAACTTACTAACTTTTTATCCTCTCTTGCAAAAAAAACTTATATAATAATTTTTATGAATTCCTCTATTCCTTTATGAGGGACAAATCGAAGAATATTATCTCCATTTGAAGAGCTCGTGAGATACAAAACAAAAAAATGGCGTATGAAAACAAATGTAACTTTAAAAATTATTTTCTTTTAATCTGTGCTGTAAAAAAATCTGACATTATTTGTGAATGTGTCTGATGCATTACATAATCATATATTAAATTTTGAAGACATACTATAGAAACTCTTCAAATAAAGATACCAAGTACAAATTTTCTTAAATCCAAAATATAGGTACAATTTTAGTGATTTTATAAATTTTGGATTTTAGAATCTTTAATTATCATTTAGACCGAGATATTTTTTATTAAATAAATGAACTGTATTAAAAACATTAATATTTCGTAAATCCTTTGGGGTTCCACAAGGCACTCTTCTTAGTCCACCACCAACTGGCCTTGGCACAACCGATCACAAAAATTAACCTCTCTTATCTTGTTTGCAGGTTCAGGCCCCATCCAACTGTGGCAATTCCTGTTGGAGCTGCTCACCGACAAAACCTGCCAGGGTTTCATAGCGTGGACCGGCGACGGCTGGGAGTTCAAACTGATCGACCCCGATGAGGTGGCGCGCCGCTGGGGCGTCAGGAAGAACAAACCCAAAATGAACTACGAAAAGTTGTCGCGCGGGCTGCGCTACTACTACGACAAGAACATTATACACAAGACTGCCGGCAAACGATATGTATATAGATTTGTTTGTGATTTGCAGAATTTGCTTGGGTAAGTGTCCAAATTCACCTAGATTGGTCAGTTTTTGAAAGTTTCAATAATTATTAGAGATGGGAAAATTCCCATTTGACGAAAATTCCCGGAAACTTTCCATCGAAAATTCCCGAAATTATCCGAAAGTTTCAAAAAAAATTTTTTATTGCGAAAATAATTTTTTTATGCCAGGGATTTGCAAAAATATATAACACATAAACTTTTTGTCAAATTTTATTAAGAAAAAAAAATAAAAAAAATGTTTATAAGAATGTAACTGCAATACTATTTTTAGTATCTTTTACTTTGGAATATTCCTATTGTATACTGAAACCTACAAAATAAAAATAAAATGTTTACTATAGAAATTCACTAACTAATATATAGAAATATTAAAAAGTAAAAGTAAAGTAAAAAATAATTCCAAACACTAGATTTTTTTCTTGGCATTGTGCTATGCCTATAAATAAACAACAAAAATGTAAGAATGATTTTAACTTTGTTTATTGTTTTTATTTTGTTTACCTTTTTTTTTAAATTTTTTTGTGATGATGCTGAATAATCCGGCTTCATTGAGGTTATGTAACATAACTTACATTATTTATACTTCTTCTTCTGCTTTAAATTAACACACATTAAATTCTTATTCAAAGTTTCTTGGCCTTGTATCATGGCCTTAACGAAAATCAGCGGTTAAACAATTGACAAATGAAAAAAACAAGGAAAGTTTCCAAGGAATGTTTCCGGTAGCTTAAAAGAAACTTTCAAAATGAAAATAAATTCCCAATTGGAAACTTTCCAAAACGGAAAGTTTCCTTAAAATGGAAACTTTCCGATTCCCATCTCTAATAATTATAATAAATTTTTGTTGTCGATTTTACTTATTTTTATTATGAATAAGTTTAAACAGATTTTGAAATTTGTTTAAGTTTGAGACCGATATACACTATAGTATTAAAAAATTTTAGAGTTCCAACAGTTTTGGCGCATTTAGACGGTTTCAAGACAGATCATAATAGTATATTATGCAACAAGTTTCATATACGCCATTTTAATCACAAGTTTTAATTAGGCACAAGCGCAGTTTTTAAAAATAAATATATAAAATCTGACGCCTGCCAAAAGGTTCTAACCTCACTTTTAAAAGATTATTATTATAAATAGTCGCTTTATTTTGACGATTTTATGATATTTGACATCTGAAGAGGGGTTTAGTAACATGTTCAATAATAAAGGACAAAAAATATTGTAATTGCAATACCATATCGTCACCTAAATGTGTAAAACTGTCAATTTTTTTCAGTTTTTGACACTTGAGGACTTCTTTTGTCAATGGAAACTTTATTCCATTGAGTCAATTTTTCTGGATTATTTTTTACTCGTGAGCGGCCGAAACTGTTTTTATTTTATTTTGTAAACAATTATATTATTATTTTGTGTAAGAAATTATGATTTCTCGTAAAACGACATAGTGATTAACCGCAAAATCCGGGACTTTTCCGGGACGTTTACTCTTGCGGGACATGTTGATAAAATCCGGGACTGTCCCGAAAAATCCGGGACGAATGGTCACTTTACCATAAAGTAATAAGTTGAAAAAACAAACTCGTTTTCTGAAATCTGATTGGTCCAACTATAAATAAATAATAACAAAAATAATAGCCAATTTTATTTGATATATTATCTTACTTCTGACAGCTGTCAATTAGTTTTGAACATACTTTTGTAAAAATTTAACTTAAAGCTAACTTCAGCCCGTGGGCGAAACGCTATTTCGCCTACTAGGGGGAGATGTAAAATTTCGCCCAACGTTTAATTTCCTATGTAATTGGATTTAATATATGTTGAACAATAAACTATTATTATTATTATTAACCGTAATTCTGACATGACTAGGCTTGTCAGGACACATATTTAGGTGTCCGACTTTTTGTTGTTCGTTATAAATAGTTAATTTTGTTACAAAACTGTGGTTTATTTGTTCTTGACAAATTATAAATAATAATACATTATTAAACATGTAAAAATTATTTTCTTGGGTTCTGTGCTGTAAAAAATTGGTGTCTGATGCCTCAGAAATTAAGGATTAAATTTTGGTTACCATGAAAAATTTCCATTCAAAATATTTTGGTTGTCATGGTAACCAAGTTTCAAAACAGTTTTGGGGCATTAAAATTGAAACTTGACTTTTTTATAGAATTGTTTACCCTTTTCTTCTTTTTACTTCACATTAACTTGGTTACCATGACAGCCAAAATTTTAGTTTGCAAAGGTTTTTTGAAACTGATTTCCATTGTTTTATATTTTTCAACATTTTTAATTAAAAAAAGTTCTCACTCAAGTTTTCATGAATACTTAATTAATATTATTATTTTACACATAATTTAAATAAATTAGACATGAAACTTATATTTTTTCTTTCTTGCAGATACAGTCCAGAAGAATTGCACAAAATGGTAGATCTCAAGCCGGAGAAAAAAGAAGACGATTAAACTGAGAGAGAAAAGCGCAAAACAAGAAAAGTTCCCCTCAAATTCGACTACTTTTTCAATCCGCTCGTAAATGAAATGGTGCCTAAGATTTTCCAAAAAAAAATAAACAAACAAATATAATAAAAGTGAACAATTTATCATCGCTCAAAAAAACTGAACCAAAATTAAGTATCAATTAGTTAGTTGATTATTTGAATTGAAAAGCGTATTTTTTATAGACTGTAAAAATCTGTTATGTATTAAAGTTTAAAACGTTGTTTTTTGTTAGGTTTGTTCGAAATTTATGAAAGATATTTTTGCAATTTGCTGTGTGTTAAGTTATTGATGGTTAGGTGCCATTTTTATTAATTTAAAGAGTATTTTTCATTTCTTAGACAATGACAATATTTTAACACACAGTATTTTATGGGGTAATTTTTTACCCCAAGCACTCGCAGGAGAATAAAAAAATAACGTGATTTTCAGATAATAATTTTTTTAAGAACACCGTAAAGTTGAATACAAAAACATTGATTATTAAATATTATTGAATAATAAAACAAGGTTTTATTTTTCCATATTAAAAGTAAAATTTTGTTTTCTTATAATGTTTAACAATCATTATGGTATTTTTCAAAAAATGTTGCTCTCTTTTTAACCTTTGTGTTTCAGTTTATTCTGACTTTTTATAATTGTAAATACAAATAATTATTGTGATAAGTTTACTATAAAATTCTGATTGATCCAAATAATTCGTGTTTTTAAACAAATTTTGACAGTATTTTGACTTTTTTACTGCTTAAAAACACTACGTTTTACAACGTAATAAACATTTATTTCGATCAACCGTCAAAATTTTTTAACTCCAAAATTGTTTGGCGTTAAAAAATTAAATTAAAAACATTTTTGGTCGCGATTTATCTTTTTTTTTACTATTATTGATGTGGTCTCATGATTCTACATATTTAAGTTATTATTAAATGAGTAAATAAATTAAATTTAAAAGAAAAATGTACACGTTAAAAAGTTCTTGGACCAGTCGATCTCGTTTAAGGGATCCTAAAGTTTGTCCACAATGTATTTTAATGTGTTAATTATACGTATAATATTGTATTAAATGAAATATGTTTCAATAAAATATTGGTTTTACCATTAACATTGATTTTGTTTTATGTACCCCCCCCTACTAATTAATCAAAAAGTCAAAAAAATACAGATAACGGAAGCGGAAATTTGTGCAATTTATTAAATCTCCAAAAACAACGCAAAAAAATTAAATGTCAAAAAAGTGTGGGTTGGTTGCCTATATCAAAATCCACTTATAAAACTAAGATTGCCAGCCATTAGCATTTATATATTAAAATTTAATGATTAAATAATACAATGCCAGTCAAAATTAACGCATAATAAGTAAAAAAACTCTAACTCTAAAACGCCTTTACCAATCTTTATGAAATTTTGTATAAAAATACTTTAACTTATATCTCAGTTTACGTGTTTAAGGGTGTTTCGAGAAAATATTTTTAAAGCTCCTTTATTTAATAATTAAAAAAACGTTCAAAAAATAACTTTAAGGGAATTTTTTTTAAGTAAATAAAAAATATGTTAAAGACCGTATTTTCATTAGTATACCCTGAAAATTTTTTACAAATCAAACGAACAGTAACGAAGATACAGCGCTTCAAAGTCGGTAAAAATGACCCCTTTTTTATTATTTTTCCAAAAAGTGGTCATTTTTGACGACTTTGAAGCGCTGTATTTTTGTTACTGTTCGTTTGATTTGTACAAAATTTTCAGGGTATACTAACAAAAATTACTTAAAAATAAATTTCCCTATAAAAGTTTTTTTTTCAAACATTTTTTATTATTAAATAAAAGGGCTTTAAGGATATTTTCTCGAAAAACCCTTGAATACGTAAACTGAGATATAAGTTAAAGTATTTTTATACAAAATTTTATAAATATTGGTAAAGGCGTTTTAGAGTTAATTGTGTATAATAATTATATATATTTTTTTTATTTGAAGAGCTACAAGGTCGGTTAAATTAGACAAAAGTTGCGTAATTACAAGTCTATAAATATGGCATTTAAAAATTTGAAAAAAAAATCAGCTGTTCTTAAAAAAAACTGAAAACCTGTCAAATCCAAAAATCTTTATTTATTTATTAAATACTTATGACACTGTATCATAGTTTAACAAGACAGTTTTAAAACTGGTACCGTCAAAACCATATTAATTTTATAAGTAGTTCTTCTTAATCGTCCATTCCATTATATAAATCTTATTATTTTTAATAATCATTTCCACATATCAATTTTAATAACTTTGCTTTAAAATAACTTAAATTTATATTTTTGAACAGAAAATTTTGATTGATGTTTCTGACATTTTATGTTAGATAAATTTAAATAACTTCGTTATTCCTAGGACTTTTGAAAAAAGTAATTAATATGTAAACATACACATTTATCTACATTTAATCATTTTTTTTATTTTTTTGTCCCACTGGATTTTGAGTTACCACCACCATCTTTTGTTTTTCCCATGGCCGCCATATTGGAATTTTACATGGTTAGCATCCTAGACAAAAACAAACTTGTTTTTGTCTAGGGTTAGCAAGGAGCCCGAACTTAGTAGGGGAAATTGACAAAATCTGCCCTCTAAATTGCACAAATTAAGTATTTTTTTCCACCACAGTTCCTTAGTCAATGGTTTGGGTACAAATTAAAAAATTGTTTATTAATAAACGGAACATGTACACCAGCGCCCTCTTATCTTTGGAAAATTATTGTTTACATGAAGTTCGGACTCCTTAAGTGTAGGCTCCATGATGGTTAGATAGAAAAAAGCAAGGAATCCAACGATGTATCAAAGTACTATACTATACTATATACTATAACACCACTATATCTATAACTATAACACCACTATATCACCATCTTTTCTTTTTATAATGGACGATATCGTCATAAATTTTATGTTAATAGGCTTGTAATTAAGCAACTTTTCTCTAACTTAACCGGCCTTGTTACAGTAGCTACAGTAGCTCTTCAAATAAAAAAATTCCCATGAAGTATATAGTACACACATTTGTTACACCAAGTACTTCTATAGAAGGATACTTGGTGTAACCTGTATATACATAATATTACATCTATTAATGCTTAAAATGCCAAATTTGTATATGAAAGAGATATACCTATATTAATCTATAGTGGACATGAAAAAAGGTTTGCTCTTTTTTCAGACCACATGCGGTCTGTGGCTATTCGTCCTATCTTACTAAGTGTATTCTTGGTTGCATACCTCCAAAACTCTTTGTTGCATTTTTCAATGATTAAAATTTTTCCATTCGTTAGTTTGGAGGTATTTGTTAAGTTATTTCCAGTTTTTCTATTAATATATGATGGCTTCTCATAGATGTAAAAAATAATTGGGTGGCTAATTAACGGGCCTATTTTGAGTTTTACTAATAGAAAAAAGATAAATGGAGATTTAACTGGAAAGTTTTAGGAAATTCATAAATTTTGTGATGGAAGTTTTTAAAACTAAAATGAATTCTTCTAAAACGATATTGGCATTTGACAGTAACAAAAACACATTATATTTTGTTTTTTAGTTAGTTTATTTATTATTTTATTATTTTGCAAAACGTATCTATTATAATACCTATCTATTTGGTCCACTGTAGTAGGATGATACTCACTATATTTTGGATTCATAAAATTTATGATACCTATTGGTATTTGGTATTTGATAAAACTAAATACCTACTTACTAAAATTAAATGTGAAAAATTTGAGCTTGATAATAGTATTTTATTATACGAGAGATAATGCGCATAATCCCGAGTGTAATACTATACTTTATCTACTCCAATAAGTTGATAATTAAATAATTTTCAAAAATAAATAAATAAAATCTGACATCTGTCAAATGGTTAAACCTACTTTTTACCAATTTTGAATGTTATTATAATCGCCTTCTTCCAATTTAGAACCCGATTGGCTCAAATCACAGTGAATATTGAAATCGGAATAATTAGTTCATTATTCCCGTTGTTAGGCAGGGAATTTATAATATTTACCATTATTTACGGAAAAAAACAATATACTATAGAAGTAGAAAAATCATTTTAAAAGCAAATTAGTTTTTTAAGAAAATTTGTCATATTATACTAAATTCACCATTAACAATTGTATCACAGGTAAAAAATGTCAATAAAGAATGATTAAATGACATTTAAAGCTGAGCTGGGGTGGCTACAGCCCCAGGGCTTGCTTAGTGAAGTTTATTTTTGTGCTCATACTGATTCCCCCAAATATTCTAGAAACGGTTTTGAGAAATTTTTGATATCTTTTTTAAGTCCAGAATTATAAAGCATTGCTTGTTTTTAAATAGACACCCTGTATATATTATGGTAAACTTTTAAAATTTATAAATTATAGGCCAGTAATAGTGTAAGATTTTATATTGAACCTAATTAGGTTAACACTTTTACACGGTTTGGAACTGTATTTGATTAATTAAACAATGTATGGTTTTCTCCTCTTTTACATACTTATTTTGGCTTTTTTTTAAACAAACATTCTCTTTTGAAATTTTTGCTTTTGAAATTTTCTATGAAATGAACATTTTCTTTGAGTAAATCTTCAACATTTTAAAGTTTCTTTAAAAATAACCTTTTAACCCTTTTTGGCCTAGTACACTGTAAAAAATAATTAACACAAGTCTACACGCCCCAACCAGTGGCGTAATAAGCACCCCCGCAGACCCCGCACCGCGGGGGGGCCCAGACGGTCAGGGGGCCCAAGGCGTTCTTTTTCGAAACTAAAAATAGTGAAAACATATCTTCGTAACACTATGGGAAAACAACGTCTTTGTAATTTATCAATTATTAGTATTGAACATGAGTTTATTAAGACATTAAACATTGACAATATTATAACTGAATTTGCAAAAAAAACTCGAGAAGATCAGACCGTTTTTTTTAGTAAATCTATAAATACTTAGACAATCGCATTTTGTGTTTATGTTATTAATTTTTTTTTAATTTAACTTCTTTAAGACTGTCTACAATATGGTTTTAACTGGGTAAGATTTGTATACATTTTTTAAATTATTATTATTTTTAAATTGTTATTATTGCTGATATAATAGTATAATACTGCCGTTCAAAATTTGGTAATAAGAACAGAAAATGTTTAGGTAATTATTATTTAAATATTTTTTTAAAAGAATCTTAATAAGATATTATATATTATAGAATTACGAAAATGATCCAGCATAAAAAAGGTATATATGTAGAATAAGATATTTTTAAACCAAAATTAATTAAATATTTTATGTTTTACTACCAAAAATTGCAGATACAGCAATTTTTCTTACCTAATCCTTTTTTATTTGCTTATCGTATGTCTGTCTATCGTATACACTCTATACATACCAAATTTTTTAATTTAAAAAATATTATATATATATAATGTAGCTTTAAAAGTACTATGATAAACTATTTTAAAAATTAACTATTAAATAAACTTTTTAATTATTGTAAAGAGGGCCCATTAAAATCGTTTGCGGGGGGGCCCACTCAGAATTTGTTACGCCACTGGCCCCAACACCAAACTGTGTTATTCCAAGTCCACACGAAATCGTGTAAAATTTTAACACAGCATCAGTGTGTTTTTTATATCGTTTAATAATTTACACGAAAAATAATTAAACTTTAACACATTGTTTGTTTAATTTTTACAGATGGTGTTATTATTTAATATTTTAGCGTATTAAATTTTACACTAAATTGGGTATATTAATAAAAATTATGTTTAAAAAATACTTTAAAAAAAATATTTCATAATTTCAATTAGACAAAATATTATATTATAATATTTTTATATAAAACAAATTATTAAAAACATTTAAAAAAAGTAATAAAGGAAACAAAATCATTTTAAATGTTTTAAACTTACTTATACCTAAAAAAGATAAAATGTCATGTGTTACTGGCAAATTTACCATTACCCACTATGTTTTCTGAAGTCAAAGGTTAAATTTCATATTACAAATAAAGGATTAAGCAGCAAAAGGGCAAATTTTACACGATATTTGTTAAAATTTACACAACTTCGTGTAACATAACACGATATTTATTAAATATGAGTTTAACACATTAACGTGTAAATTAAGAAGTGGTTACACCTTTTAGTGTTGATTCCCAATTTAGGAACATTCGTGTAAAAGTATTTACACGATTTTTACAAAAAATTTACACAAAAATTTTAACACAAAAAAAAGAGAATTTACACACTGATATTTTTTGCAGTGTAATTCCACTTATTTTAGTGTACTAAAATAATAATATATAATATATTATATAATAATATATTACCCTCAGTCCGACCTGCCTATAGGCAATCATAACATAAATCCGGTTTCCTAAAGTTTGGTATTTATTTGTGTATTAAAAATCTTGCATATTAAATAAACTGTTAAAAAGTCTTTGGACATCGTCAAAAACACACACAGGCTTCAAAGATAAGATAAAGAAATTGTACAAACATTCTGACATTATTTATTGGCTATATTTTTATCATTTTTTACACACCTAGGTACATATCCACAATTCTCTGAAGATATAGTTCATTAACATCATCTAACCCTTTAAGGCGAACTTTACAATCCTACTGTAACATCTTTCTACCCGTTAAATCGTCAATTAGTGGGGTATGCCTTTTAAAGCTATTAATAGAAGCACGCATCGCAATGCACGGTGCATAAGGCACAGCCTCCCATCATCTCTGACGTCGCGACGGCGACGCCGATTTCATAGAGATGCAGATTACGTTCCGTAGTGTCAGAAATAACCTTCTACCAGAGGTATTATGGATAGTATTATGCATTGTCTTATGGTTATAAAGTTAAGCAACCTATGGGTATGAAATAAATAGAAGAGAAAATAAGTTTTGGTGGTGAGTTGGAGACTTTTTCTTGGGAAAATGAGAAATTTAAAGGTTGTTGTAAGGATTCGGCCCTTGTCACAAAGGTAAGAAATATTTTGTTTTGTGCTTTACAATATATTTTTAGTCAGGCAATTTGTTTGAGTAAATTTAGGACAGTGTCCTGTATGTAATTTTTAAATATTTTAAGATAAAGTATGGAAATCATGGAAATTCATAATAAAATATAACAAAAAAAAATTCTATAAAAGTATGTGAAAAGGTAAAATTATTAGAAAATTAAAAAAAACACAAGCATTTTATTAAAATTTATAAATACTAATAAAAAATTATATACATTTTTGTATCAAAAAATTTAAAAAATGGGACGAGTGAGTTTTTAAGGATTTTAAAATTAATTAATATTTTTAAGACCACATATATTTATAAAACGTCATTAGAAATTTGTTTTCAGTCCATAAAAAATTTCGGAAAAATAAATAAATTAAAGAAAAACCTTAAAACTCGAAAGTAACTTTTTGTTATTACCATTTATCTACACACCATTTTAATGTTTTAAGTCTTTTTATTTATGTTTTGGATGATGATTTTAAATTTTTTGTTTTTTTTTGACCAAATCTTAAAAATAAATACTAGTCAGACTTTTTTATTTAACTTAAAATTTTTCGCTTGGGCAAAAAAAATTATAATGATTATTTTTTGACATTTCTAAAAACCAATAGAAACTTCAATTTCAGTCATGTGTGTATATTTTAGCCAATCAAAATATTATTATGGTGAGAACAATGGTACATGCATTATTCCCGCGAAAACACCACGGCATCTGTTATTACAATAAAATCTGTCACTGACAGACTGTCAGTATACTATAGTAATAAATAAAATTAGCAGCAAAAGGTTTAGTTAAACACCGGAAGAAGAAATGAACAAACAAATAATTGTTCAAATAAGGAAAAATACCCAAATATTTAATTGAATTTACTAAATTCTATAATAAATGTTAAAAAATAATCTTTAGAATAAAATTCGAGAGTTCAATATATTAAATAGCTATTTATGTAGGGAAGGTGGGGGAATTTCGCGCGGTGGGTAATTTTACGCATAAACAATTCTTCCAGATAATATGAAGTAAATAATACATTTTTTGAATGTTGCAAACTTGGAAACGTTGCTTTGGGTATACGGGGACTAAAGTGTACCACAATTAAGCTTGTAGCTTTTAGCTAGTGACGATGGTCACTAGCTAACTGTGATACATGTACGTTGATCTAAGAAATCCATGTCGTTTCCGTATACGAGTTAAGTTTAAATTTCTGTCCAATCGCTTAAATGTTTATAACACAACTTTATATGATCTTTCCTTGTAATCTGGTGTATGTTTTAAATTGTTCAGGTTAACTTTTGGAAAGTTTTTTAGTATCACAATATTTTTCTTGCAATGGGGGTAATTTTACGCTGAAAAATTGGGGCCAATATGGGAACTTTGGTACAGGAGCCTATAGATTATTCAGCATAAACAGTTCCATTTGGGCACACGCGGAGTGTAGCGAAAAAAACAACCCCTAAAACTACATATGTGACAACTGCTGCATGTAGACCCTCTTATTTCTAAGAACAAAAATTTTATTTTTAGTTATTTATTTTTGATTTTGTTTGTTTTGTTTGATTCATAGAGAAAATAGTTGTGTTTTATTTTTATGTTTTAATATACTAATATTATAGAAATAAACGGTTTATTTAGATACCTACAAATCTTTCTCTAAACAGCGCAAATTTTTCCCCTATGATGCGTAAAATTACCCTGATAGGTGGGTAATTTTGCGCAAATGCATTATTTAAAAAAATTTAGTTTTTGCATACCAAACAATTTTTTTTTATAAATTGCGCATTATATACACATAGTAAACATAGTAGACTATCGCTGGTATTAATTGCAAAATTTCACATTTAAACTTAACAAAGATACTAGAGATTTTGCTTAGATGCGCAGAATTCCCCCACCTTCCCCTATTAAGAGCGCAAAGTGATATATTGTCGCTCTGAGAATGTTTCGTAAAAATTAATAATTATTGATAACCTTAAATTTGACTTTTGTGTCAAAAGTCGCAAATACAATAAACGTTTCTTTATAATGGTTTCCATGGTAAACTAAGCGAGAATTAGTTTTCACAAAAATAAGTGGATACAGCATCGAAACAAGTTATATGAGAATTTACCATAATATTATTACTGTTGATAATTTAAAGTTTTTATTGTTTGACACAAACTGTCAGTAAATACATCAGTAAACCATGTAAACCTCATTTAACTAATTTAAATTGTTTCCGTAGCCACCGCGGTGCACCGTTTTAAGATTTGCCTTTGCACACATTAAACATTAAAAATAATAAATCGAAATAAAGTACCTACATACATAGAGAAAATTAGATGTTGTAATGTTTATTTTCGTTTATTAAAAAAGAATGGTCAAGGCAAATGCTATTTAAGACGAGAAAACACATTTTTATGACAAAAGTCAAAAAATTAATATTTTTCACAAAAAAACGATTTTAGGATTTAAAAGATTTTTCCAATAAAACTTAAATTACTTAAAAAAATAACTTAATTTTGTAAAATAGTCGATATATTCTCAAAAAATGTAGTTTTAAAAACCGATTTTAAAAATGGAATCTCGTCAAAAAAAACGCTTTTTGGGACTAAAAACCACATTTTTACGATAAAATTTAAGTTGAAAAAGTGTAGTACAAAAAAGGTTAAAATACATACCTATGATAAACTTACCTAACATTTCTATCGGACTCATTAAACATGAAAAATAAAAGGAAGGAGCGAAAATAATTTAAATTAAACTCCCAGTCTCTATTTTATGAATTTCATAACGTATATTTAAAATATCTTGAATTACCTACCTAACTAAATTCATTATAAATTTGTTAATAATATATATTATAATCTAAATTATGTTCTATGTACATCAATTTCTAGTTGACTTGAGATATGCATTTGATCTTAAAAGCGAATAGCGACGTGTCTGGGCAAATAAAGCAAGATTAAAGGTGATTTAGGCGCGGTAATTAGCTCGGCAACGGCCTAACATGAAATTCTCGAAAGTGTACACACCCCAAAACGAAGAACAAGACGAAAAAACAAGCAAAACTTGTCTGAAAACAGAAATAGCACGAAGGTTTTAAAGGTGCAACTACTCAACTAACAAAGTTTGTTTTCGATGTTTTAGTCCGAAATAAATGGCAATAATAAAGTTTTATTTGCATTCGGAAGTGCTGCAAACTATTTTTGTACTTCTTTGTTAGAGTTATAGGTGACTAAATTTGATATTTCAAATATAAAAATCTATTTATATATCGATGCCATATGTCTGCAGATGAAACTATTTAAAAGAAACATATTAACAGGGGATGAAATTACATCCATGTAAAAATTTTCCAAATGAGCCAACAATTTTTGACGTTGAAAGGAAAGCTAGAATTAAGTATTGGAAAATAATTTACTCATTTATATCCAGTCACGTTATAAAAAAAATTAAAAAAAATTAATTTGTGACGATGTTTTATTAAAATGATTTTTCTATTTATTATAATAATAATAACAAATTATATTGTTTAGCGCCACATTATGAAATTGTATCGCCATATGTTTGTTCTTGATAATGTAGAAATTTTAATTGAATTAGCTCAGTGGCGGCGATTTAATACAGTTTTAAAAATAATATTCTTGTAAAAGTAGATAAAAAATTACATCATTTTGTAAACTATTTATTTTTATAAACATTTGTTTTGTGTGTTAATAACCTGGATTTCGTAAAAATTTTAATTTAATTGAATCAGAAGTGGCGATAATATACCGATATAACACAGATATAACACAAACAACAGGTAATTGATTAGATTAAATACCCCTGGTATCTTGGTTATTTAGAATCAAAAGTATATCTTAAACTTAAAAAAATATTTTTCCACTTCCACCTTTAAAACGCCCTTTATAGTACATGTTTCCATGACACTTTTGACCTTTTAAATACACATTGACAAGTTGTGGCTTTATGGCGCTTTAGTCACGGGCTGAAGTTAGCAATAGGTTTTAGTCACGGGCTAAAGTTAGTTTTAAGTTAGTTGACAGTTGTCAAATGTCATACAATCGTTAAAATAAAAAGCCTTTCTTGAAAAATAATACTAAATGTGAAAATTATTTTATTATCTCAATACAAAAATACAAAAGTATTAAATAGTTTCTCAACGCCAAGATTTGAAAAGTTTATATGAACATTGTACTGACCTTTTAATTTCGCCGGCAGTAAACTATAACTTAAATTCGGACACGGACTCCACTGTAAAGTGCTCATAAAACATTTTCTTTACTTTCACTGTGAAAAACTGTCAATTTTCAAGAAATACATTTCGATTTATAACCTTTATAATTGTGTTTATAAAATATAAAAATTTGACATTTGACGGTGACACACAGATTCCCCTATTGTTTCATAGATGGCGGTCCATACAAATTTTTGATTTAAATCATTTTAAGATAATAATAAGTATTTGTCGTAGAAAAAGTATAGTATGCACCTCGTTTATAAACTTTTCTATACACTCATTAATTTAAGCACTCGCTCACAAGCTCGCTCGTGCCTAAATTAAATTCGTGTATAAAATGGCGTTTATCAAACTTGATACATAATATACTATTATTACCAATATAGTTCAATACTTACTTGAAATTTTATAAAGATGCATTGAATGGTTTACAAAATATTGTAATTTTTTATATACATAATTTGAGAAGATTTTTTATAACGCAAAATGCAAGTAATATAATAATTTTTAAGATTTTTTTCTAAAAGAAATATTTATTCAATTTTGTTTTAATTTATTACAAAAATAAAAGAATAATCGAGAGAATAATAATAATTAGTATCTATCTATAATTTGTCAAATAATTTTTTTTCCAATAATTATTGTGCTTCCTCTTTGAGATACATTATTGCAGTATACTATATTATTTTTTTGTTAATATATTGTTTAAGTATTTTTGTTTTTTAATATTACTGAATATTTTGTCCTGATTATTT